GCTTCCCCTAGAGTGAGTGATCTAAGAGTAAGCAAGAGTAGATGGTATTATTACATGTGTTTTTTTTTTTTTTTTTGAGACAGAGTCTCAAGCGGTCACCCTAGGTAGTATGCATGGTGTCACAGCTTATAGCAACCTCAAACTCTTGGGCTTAGGCAATTCTCATGCCTCAGCCTCCCAAGTAGCTGGGATTACAGGCAACCACCACAACACCTGGCTATTTTTTTTGTTGAAGTTGTCACTGTTGTTTTTAGCAGGCCCAAGTTGGGTTCGAACCTGCCAGCCTCACTGCATGTGGCTGGCACCCTACTCACTGAGCTATGGGTGCTGCCATGTTATTACACGTTTTAAAAGAGTAGAAGCTTTTATTACATGTTCTGCAGACCTAGTCTTGGAAGTCTTCCTTGTCCTTTCCACAGGATCCTAGCAGTTACACAGCCCTATTTCATGGGAAGGGACAACACAGTGTGAACACCAACTGAGAACCCGTCAGAGGCTGGCCACTTCTCTAATAACTTTTAGTTTCTTCCCTGTGTCTACAGAATAAAACTCCTTAGTCTGACACTCTGACCCTCCCAAACACAAGCGCTCAGCCAGACTTCTTCCCACGAATGCCATTTGCTTACACAGACTGTCCTTCCTGGAAGGTTTTCCCCCTGTTTCTGTAGACTAATTCCTACCTCTTAAAGTCAACCTTTTCCATTAATTCTTCCTAATAAGAAGGAACAACTCCTCAAGACTTTTTTTTTCCAAGATAGGATCTCATTCTGTTCACCCAGGCTGGAGTACAGTGTTATAATCATAGGTCCCTGTATCCTTGAACTCCTGGCCTCAAGCCTCAGCCCCCCAAGTGTTGGGGTTATAGGTGTGAGCCACTGAGCCTGGCCAGAACTCCTTTAAATGTTAAAGCTTTTCAGCCATACTTAGCATTTTCTGTTATGCTTAATATTTTCTGTTACATACATACTTACTACATATATATCACTATAATTTGAGTCTTAGTTTCTCTACCTGGCTGAAAATTTCTTAATAGCAGAGATATACTCAGAGACCTTAGACCTGGTAGGTGTCTGGTTGAGATTTATAGTTTGAATACTATCTACAGGTATTTATTAACATTAATTATACACTGTGTGCCAGCCCACAGCTGTAGCTGAGTACTATGGTGGGATATTAAAAAGTCTGAAATATGAAATATAGGCAGTGTGTAGTTACCTTCTATGATGTGCTATTTTTAGGAAAATTCAGAGCATAGTGTCATCAGTGTGTGCTGAGTCAGCTTAGGGAACACAGGATCTGCAATTATCTTGAGGCAGGAGCCTTAGACATTGAATGTTGTGACACAGTAGGGGGAGAATCTAGGCTGGGAGTACCTGGAAACCTATGTGTGTTTTTAGGGAGAGGGAGATATCATTGATATCGTTATATGAAGCTAATATGAATTCTTTAAAAAATCCTATGTGTTTCTTTATTTGTTGCCTTTTTTTTTTTTTTTTTTTTTGAGACAGAGCCTCAAGCTATCCTCCTGGGTAGAGTGCCGTGGAATCACAGCGCACAGCAACCTCCAACTCCTGGGCTCAAGTGAGTCTCCTGCCTCAGCCTCCCAAGTAGCTGGGACCACAGGTGCCTGCCACAACGCCCGGCTATTTTTTGGCTGCAGCCATCATTGTTGTTTGGACGGCCTGGGTTGGTTTCCAACCCGCCACCTTAGGTGTATGTGGCTGGTGCCTTAGCCACTTGAGCCACAGGCATCGAGCCTGTTGCCTTTTTTTTTTCAGAGTCTCAAGCTGTTGCCATGCGTAGTGTGCTGTAGCATCACAGTTCACAGCAACTTCAAACTCTTAGGCTTAAGCAATTCCCTTGCCTCAGCCTCTCCAGTAGCTGGAACTACAGGCGCCCACCACTCGTCTATTTTTTGTTGTTGTTTCAGTTGTCATTGTTTTTTTAGCTGGCCCAGCTGGTTTCAAACCCATCACCCTGGGTGTACATGGCCGGTGCCTTACTCACAGAGTTATGGGTGCCACCCGTTGTTTTTTTTGTTTGTTTTGAGACAGTCTTACTTTAATGCCCTTGGTAGAGTGCCCTGTGTCAGAGCTCACAGAAACCTCAAACTCTTGGTTTAAGTGATTCTCTTGCCTCAGCCTCCCAAGTAGCTGGGACTACAGGCTCCCGCCATAACACCTGGCTATTTTTAGATATGAGGTCTCCTTCTGGCTCAGACTGGTCTTGAACTGGTGAGCTCAGGCTATCTACCCACCTCAGCCTCCTAAGTGCTAGAATTATAGGTGTGAGCCACTGTGCCTGGCCTTATTCATTGTTTTTAATTACTGTAGTAATAAATCCTCATGACAAGTGAAGTAATGCAAAGATGTCTTAAAGAATTGCTAAGCACCCCTTCTACCTCATTTGAATTTTACTCTCCCTACCCCTCCCTGAGTTATCCCTACTTTAATTAATTATAAAGTCTTTTGGGTTTTATAGGTAAATGATGACAATCTTCAATTGAAATAACTTTTTTTTGTTTTGAGACAGAGTCTCACTTTATCACCCTTGGTAGAGTGCTGTAGCATCACAGTTCACAGCAACCTCCAACTCTTGGGCTTAAGTGATTCTCTTGCCTCAGCCTTCCAAGTAGCTGAGATGACAGGTACCTGCTACAACACCCAGCTATTTTTAGAGACAAGGTCTTTCTCTGGCTCAGGCTGGTCTCCAACTCCTATGGTTAGGTGATCTACCTGCCTCAGCCTCCCAGAGCGCTGGGATTACAGGCATGAGCCACTGTGCCTGGCCTTATATGCCAATTGTTTAAATTTCTTGACTTCTGCATTAACTAGGGGCCTCTAGAACCATTGAGAGTAATTGGTGATAAAAGCAAGCATCCCACTCATGTTCCTGATTTCAATGAAATTCATTTCAGCATTTCACTCTTAAAAGTTGGGGTTGCCAGGCAATGCCCATAGCTCAGTGGGTAGGATGCTGGCCACATACAACCAGGCTGGCGGGTTTGAACCCAGACTGGGCCAGCTAAACAACAAAGACAACTGCAATAAAAAAGAAAAATAATATCGGGGCATTGTGGTGGGCACCTGTAGTCCCAGCTACCTGGGAGGCTAAAGGAAGAGAATCGCTTAAGCACAAGAGTTTGAGGTTGCTGTGAGCTGTGACACTACAGCACTCTACTGATGGTGACATGATGAGATTCTCTCTCAAAAAAAAAATGGGGGGTTGCTGTTGTTTTCTTATAAATAGTCTATTGTATTATGTAGTTTTCTCATTTTATAACTTAGAATTATTTTGGAAATGATTGCTGAACTTTTTAAATACCTTTTTGGCATTGTGGTACACATGTATAGTTTTTCTTCTTTAATTTGCTGATGTAATGAATTACATTTATAGATTTTTCTAATGTTTATCATCTTTAGATTCTTGGAATAAGCCCAGTTTGGTCACAGGTGCCAGAGGTTCATTTGTCACCTTACCTTCTTAGAGCCTAGAGAAGAGCCATGTGGCAAATCCCATGTTATGCATTCAGTTCTAACCTAGAAACCTGGACACTATTCTTGATAGCTCCCTTCCCCAAAGCTGATGACACATCAATCAGTGAGCTGTGTTGGATCTATGTCTAGAATATATCTTTTTAGAACAAAAATTGGGCGGTACCTGTGGCTCAGTGAGTAGGGCGCCAGCCCCATATACTGAGGGTGGTGGTTCAAACCCAGCCCTGGCCAAACTGCAACAACAACAAAAAATAGCTGGGCATTGTGGCAGGCGCCTGTAGTCCCAGCCACTTGGTAGTCTGAGGTAAGAGAATTGCCTAAGCCCAGGAGCTGGAGGTTGCTGTGAGTTGTGATGCCACAGCACTCTACCAAGGGGGACAAAGTGAAATTCTGTTTCTTAAAATAAATAAATAAATAAAATAAAATTTTTTTATCAAAGTAAAATAGACATAACATAAAATTTACTATTCTGACCATTTAAATTAAAATTCAGGACCAGGCATCGTGGCTCACTCCTGTAAGCCCACCACTCTGGGAGGCCGAGGTGGGTGGATTGTTTAAGCTCAGGAGTTTGAGACTAGCTTGAGCAAGAGTGAGACCCTGTCTTTACTAAAAATAGAAAAATTACCCATACGTGGCAGGTGCCTATAGTCTTAAATACTCAGGAAGCTGAGGCAGGAGGATTACTTGAGCCCAGGAGTTTGGGGCTGCTATGACATGACAGTAGTCTAGCCTGGAGCAACAGTGAGACACTGTCTCAAATAAATAAACGAACTGTAAAAGTGCCATTAAGCACATTCACATTCTTGTGCAACTGTCCCCGTTATCCATTTCCAGACCTTTCTCATCATTACAAACAGAAATTCTGTACCTATGAAAGGAGAGCTCACCACTGCCCCTTCAAACTCCTGGTAACCCCTATTCTACTTTTAACCCACTGTCACTTAGGGTTTATTCACATCATCCATTACCTTTATTTCTTTGTAGCTATGAAGGAGAGAAAATTCGTGGGCTATACGAGGGAGAAGGCTTTGCAGTCTTTCAAGGAGGTTGTACCTACCATGTAAGTTATGTACTTGGGAACCTGCAGGGTGGAGAGGAAGGTGTGGAGTGATAGTTTTAGATTTGGAAATCTTTAAAGTCCATCGATTCCTCAAAAGATTTTGAAAGTACTTCATGCTGATTTTATTTAGAATCATGATTACATATTTAAGGTGAAAATATAGCTCAGTATAAGTAAAGTAGTCATTTTAGATTTGTTTGTATTCCTGATTCTTATCATATATACAACAGGTCACTAAAGAAAATAATGAAGAATAAAATTTCAGTGTCATCATCCTTTTGCCATAAATGTGATCCATTGGCTATGTTCCTTTTATTTTAGATGAGAAAATTAATTTTGTATATAACATTTTGAATCTGTATTGCTGTGTGGTTTTAATAACCATGTTTTAAAAAAGTTTTTATTGTGGGCTTGGAGCCTGTGGCTCAAACGGGTAAGGCACCAGCCACATACACCTGAGCTGGGAGATTCAAATCCAGCCC